ATTGCTATTGTTTGTATACATGTGTGATACATATAAATATATACGACTATATACATACATATATACATACAAATCAAGTTAGCTGCGAAGTACCGTAAACGCATATTAACAAAAATTAATTATACCAGTACTCAAATAGGATGTTGTAATAATCGTATCAAACCATAGTGAAATTTTCTCTATGATCAAACATAGCTCAATTATCAACGAAAACTTCCTTCATTTCAGTTGTATAAAAAAGTGTCTCTGGCGGGATTTGGACCTGCAATCTCTCGCTGTCAAGGCGAGCATCATACCAATTTGTCCACAGATACCTATAGGATATACTTGTATATCCTATAGGATATACTTGTAGTATTACTATTATTAATATTACTATTGATGCATTTGGTAAAGTTTTTATAAAGTTCGCTTTTTGCGGAGGAGAGGTAGGTACACTAACACTGTTCTAGCACTTGAATGTTAAAGTACGGCAGCCGATGACTAAGCATTACGTCATCGCGTATATTTATCCACCCTTGTAGCAGATGGGTTACGTCTAAATGCTATATACGTATCAAATAATAATAAACAAAATTTCTTTTGCTCATTCTTATTTATTTGTTATGTGTTCGTTTTGTGTTTATTTTAATAATTTACCTGCATTGGTTATTGCTGTTCTTGGTCGGTACTTGGTCCTGGCACAGATCCTGTATATAGGATCTATGGTACTGGATACTTCAAAATTCTCCAAGTAGGAACTGGCCGGAGGTTCGATGAAGATGGACTGTGCTATTTTGTTTAGCAGAAATGGGTCTTGCAAGAGGGTTGTATTAAACTTAGTTTCATCATTTTGGGAAATTGTAGACTGTACGGGGAAAGAACGAAAGCTGTACGAAGGCCTCTCTTTCTCATTGATTATTTATCATTTTAAATTGGCGTGTATTAGTATTATTTGACTTGATTTCTAAAATACATACGACATAGGATCACTTCATGCATATAAACATTAAATTTAAAATTTATTATTATTATTATTATTAATTTTATTGTTGTTTTTGTTCTTGTTCAATTTGTCTTTATAGTGTTTGAATTTTATGCATGGAATAATGGTCCATTGATATCGCTATTACATGCAACAGTTTACCCTAGTAACTTATATCACGAGTTGTGATTGGCTAACAAGTCTAACTCGAACTCGCTGCTTTGTAAAATTATGTCTTGAGATGATATGACATCGACGAGGCATATAGAATTTCTTATTAAAGTTGTGGAAATATATTCCCTTATGAAATAATAATGAATTATTATGGTCAACTGTTGATGGCGAAGAGTGTGTCTGTATGAAGTTATTACACTTCGCTGAACATTATTACCGGTAGAACCAAGTTCATCAAGCTCCCATTTCTGAAGCTTAATTTCTTTCTCGCCTGCCCATTTTTAGAGACGTATGGATCATTATAACACGTCTGTTAACAAAGTGAGTGGTTAATTGTAGCTTGTATTTGATACTGTCAATAGTAATTGGAACCGAAGTTGCAATTCGTTTATTGGGTTCGTATTACAGAAACTGAAGTAGTCGCTGCTTTTGCTTGTGTATTAATACGTTCGCGCTTAGTTTGCATGCTGGGTATTGCGATGAATTATGTATATTTAAAAAATAATGACTTGGAGTAAAGTTGCTCACCTTTCAATCAAACGGTGATTGGTTCAATGCTTCTAGCAAACGCGGATTTTCGCAAACAGTTACCTTCCTTAAAATAACACGTTCAAACTTATGATAGGCCTATTAATAATTTTAACATGTTATTTTTTTTTCAAATTCTAAGTTATTGAGTGTCGTATCAGTTGCTGTCATATCGACCGCTTCATCCATGCTGCGATTAATTATAAACAACTAATTAAATAATTATAAATATATATTTTTTATGTTTTATTTGTCCAGTTTGTAACTTTAACCAATTTTCGAAATACAGTTTAGCCTCTTAAGATATGAAATAAATATAATAGGCCTATCAGTTTTCTTTAATAAAAGCTATAAACAACGATGGATCATAATGCTAAAATGATGAAATAAATATTGATAGTTATTTACCGAACATGACGATGACTTATATAAATGGTAAATGAAAATGATGATAATAATGATGACGATAAAGTTGATAATGTTGGATGATGATGGGGGTGATGATGACGATGAGGGTGGTGGTGGTGATAATGATTTTATTTTATTGCATCCATTTATTCGACCATAAAAATAAATTAAATAGAGGGTTATCCTACGTATTTAATTGTTCCATATCACTTGTTTGGGAGTAAATCTTACGGTATATATAATATTCAAATGAAGTTGCTGCTTAGCACTAAGAACACAAATAACGGTATAAATCAAATAGATAATAATACAGTGCTTAAATATGATGTTGTAAATCGTATCATACATAGCTCTTCAACGAAAGTGCCTTATTATAGTTGTATCTAATTGATGTATAATAACATATATACATACATATATATATATAAATATATATAATAGCCATTACAATATGTCAATACAATAAAACAATTAAGCGTTCAGTAGCCAATTGTTTAGGTTAGCTTGATAGTATTTTGAAATTTGTACAGCATTAGTTTGCTACATTATTAACACTAAAAATCTCTTCACATGTCAATAACATAATCAAATGCTGACAATTTAACAAATATTCGATACAATGTAGGTAAAAAAATGATACGTGTAAGGAAACTCCAGTAGTCGAAAATCCTTACACGTATCGTTGTCTACCTACATTATATTTGCTCTACCACGATTTTACAGTGGCATTGAGATCTAGATGTGTATAAGAGACAGCTATTTTATCTGAAGAGTGCTGCACCATGCATGTGTAGCACGAAACTAAATAGTAATAAATATGTCTAATCAAAGCTACTGTTGAACCTATTTTTTTCAATTAATACCCTATTCATCAATTGACCCTTGTCAATAATGAATGCATTCTTATAATATACGCCCAGCCTAGTCCACCCCTCCTCCGCTTCAGCACTTTTTTTTCAAAAGAATCTCATTTTTGTTTGCCGATGTTCTTAGGAACGTGTTACGAGAACCGTAATTTGAATAAGAAAACAATTTGCCTGTGCCTTGTATTTCATCTTGGACCCTTTGTCAACATCTTTGCCTGTAGATAATCAAAGCTTGTACACTACTATAGACCTTTAGCATTATCAGTCTTCGTTGTGGCCATTTTGCTCCAAATTCAATGAAGCCACGGAGAACTGGTATTATTGTTGGTATTCCCTTCAGCAATTAGGGAACAAAAGACATTGCATTGAGATCATTCTTTTTTATCCAGTCTATTATGCTAAAGTAATTTCATTCAGCAGCTCAATATTGTTACAGTTCTTTATTACAACCAGACAAAAGTCACTAAGAGAGGTTTGAAAAGGTTTATTTTCATGGAAATATCCACTATCAATGGCTATTTCCAAACCATATACAATGACTAACGTAGGGTTGATCATTACACTGTGCGTTAGTATCCAACACGGATATCTGTCGTGTAGAAGTCTAAATACTAGTTAACCTCTAAAACTGGATATATTTTCTTCAGATAAAATATTTATAGGTCTCAGAAAATGGAGGATAGATAATTGATCCACTGGTGTACCTATCGTTCGTATTGGAACCCATAAAAGGTAAGGGTGCATAGTTCTAGAAATTTGACTTCCTTATCGTGACGTATAAGCGTATCTCATTTGAATATTTTGTAACCAATATGAAACCACGCTAAAATAATTTCTTGGACGAAGCAACAGGAGACTGTTGATCACATTAGGAAAGTGAACGAAGTTAGGTTTTAGATTCCAATTAATATACTTAATAACGTCTTTAAGTTAAAGCATATAATTTGTAGACAGTTTTTGACCGTTTTATCTTTACATTACGCGTCAGGGTTCACTGATTATAACTGCATTGCTGCAACAGTTCTCAAAATGGCGACGATTACAGAACAAAAAAATAATAATTCATCGGCAATACAACGCTATAGCGCTTGCTTTGCAGTTTATCAGCTTGCTACCATAATAAAAAATATACTAAAACTGGCATTGAAAAAATTGAAGCCGCCCGTTTTAAAGTAAATTGAGATAATAAAATATAACTGGTTTAGCTGTAAATATTTATTATCCTGTATTCTGAATGGCTATTTTTGTATTTTAGAATGAAAATAAAAAAGCAAGAATTATCATTAACGTCTCTTCAATTCAGCGTTCACAATACAAAATATCACATAATAGACGAAAATAATACCTTTATGTTTTGTTCGTTTTAAGTAGCATATAATTCACATATTTTTTTCATTTACAATAAAAGATACATACTGTAGACCTAGATCGATTAGGTAGAATGCCTAGCACATCACATTAGAACTTTCATATTTCCCGTTTCATTATGAAAGACTATATATCTCCGTCGTTTCTGTTCCGTAAACATTGAAAATTATCAAATCTAATTATTAAAAATTGGACATTATTGAATTAAAACAAGACAATATATCTTATTAATTGGGCCTTATATATAGTGTATAGCATAGCATTGTTTATGTTACTATGTTTGTGCATATATAATATGTTATTACTTCTATCTTGGTATATATAAAAATTCACAATTATACATGTATTTATAAATTTATGTATATGCCTATATATATATATATATATATATATATATATATAAAGAAATTAATATTTGGCCTCTACATTTCTTTTATTTCACTTTATACACCTATCACAGTACAAATCTAACTATTGAATAGTGTTAATTGATAACATATTACTATTATCTATCTATATAATAGTCACACATGCATATATAAATGTATGTGATTATATATATATATATATATATACATATATATATATATATATATATATATATATATTAATAAATTAATATTTGGCAAATCTAATACATAAGCCACCTCATACACATATATTTAATG